TCAAAGTTGAAGCTTATAGAGATATTTTACGATCAAGTATGCCTCAAGAAAAGTAGTAATGAATTAACTATGTTATTAATTGAGAAACAATTTATTGATGACATATATTTTGCGGGGATTAATAGTTAGCATCTAAAAATGTTGGACAAATTGTACTTGATGAGATTTTAGTATATGCAAAGTGTCATTTTGTTATAATGTCAGATTTTTTTAATGTAAATTATTTAATAAAGTATTGCATTTTTGTGGTATTTAATTTAATGATTAAATTTAGCTGAAAAATGATGGTGGCATGACACATCATACAAATAGTCAACCTTACCGGTTTCTGTCGCTTTGTTTCTTTCATTTTTGGTTTCAGCAATACATCCGAAATTGCGAGCGACTCTCTAACCTCGGTCCGTCCTCCCCGATCAACATTCCTTCCGCTCTTCTTCTCAAGGTATTCCTCTTATTCGCCCTGCAAATTTTCCATCAACACACACGCGCGCCTCTACTTTTTCTCTCATTCTTCTTTCTTGATCTCATCGTTCTAGGGTTTCACTTTCAGCTCGCTTTATTGTTTTACCTTTCACTCCGATATCTTTCTTTGTGCATATTGTTTCTATCTTTTCCCCACATTGAATCTTTTTGACCAATTTCATTCAAAAAATATCGGAAATATTGCTATTCGTCGTCAAGCTTTTCTCTCTCTCTAAAACAAGTTCACCCAACACCTCTATGGCATTTGAATGCCAACAATCTACTGAAACAAGTTCAGACAACTCTGGCATAAGCAAAGCTGAACATAATTTATCCGGATCTTCAAGCAATCAAGGTTACACACTTTATTCTGACATTCAAAAACCCGTATTGAAATTGAATGCCAAGCATTGTGTTTCTATTACAAATGGTGACGGAATCCGACCTACTCCAAGATCAATAAACGATCTCCCTCAAGCTTTAATATCTGAAATCCTCAACTGCTTAGACCCCAAGGAGCTTGGCATAGTCTCCTGTGTCAATTCTTCATTGTATCAGGTTGCATCGGAGCACCAAGTGTGGAAGGAGTTTTACTGTGAGAGGTGGGGGAATCCAACGGTCCCTATAGCATTGGGGCCGGATAGCTCAGGTTTGAAGACAAAATGGAAGGACCTTTTTGTGGAGAGGGAGTTTCGTAGCAAAACATTTTTAGGTAGATACACTGTTGACACCTTATATGGTCATACTGAAGCAGTTAGGGCGGTTTTCATCCTGTCTTCAAAGAAGCTTCTTTTCACTTCTGGGTATGATCAGATTGTGAGAATGTGGGACCTGGAAGAAGGGTTCTCTGTTTCGTCTTCCCGCCCTCTTGGTTGCACTGTCCGTGCCGTTACCGCTGATTCAAAACTATTGCTGGCTGGTGGGACCGACGGGTTCATACACGGTTGGAGGGCAGAAGAGGGAAACACCCGCTTGTTATTTGACTTTAAAGCTCCTCAGAACCAAAACACAGAATTTAGACTTTGGGAACATCAAGGTCCTATAACCTGTCTTGCAGTGGCCTTCAACAAGATTTATAGCGGTTCGTGGGATATGACTGTCCGTGTTTGGGACCGTTCTTCATTGAAATGTTTGACAGTTCTGATGCACAATGATTGGGTTTGGAGTCTCGCCCCTCATGATGATACAACAGTGGCAACCACCTCGGGATCAAGCATATATCTATGGGACGCCGGATCCGGGATGAGACTTTCTGTTGTTGACAATGCTCAAATGGGGAATGTTTACTCATTGGCAAGGAGCCATACTGGAAAGCTTATATTCACCGGGGGAGAAGACGGGACCATACACATGTTTGACGTTGTGAAGAATCTAAGGTTGCGTTTGAGGAAGGTTGCCATGTGGGCTCCTCACTCAGGCCCTGTTTATTCTCTCGTGTTTGAGTTTCCGTGGCTTGTTTCTGCTTCAAGTGATGGTAAACTTGCACTCATTGATGTGAGGAAGTTGTTGAAGACGAGTAAGTATTCAGCCTCTAGGAGCTCTTATAAGGTTGAGAATCTGAACCACCACAAGGGTATGCCTGACTCCCTAAAATACTAGGGAAAGGAAAAAACATACTTTTGTGATTCCTCTTGTTTCATTTTACTTTAAAAAATGGAAAGGAAAACGAAACATGATTAGTTTCTTTAAACAATTATATATTTGTGTGTGTGCGCGTGTGTAGATTTCTTACTCATTGTGTCCCCCCACCACAAATGATCAGTCGCTCTAGCATTAAAATTTCGTTCCAAATCAAGTGTCATTTTAGGAATTTGAGACATATATCCACTTTTCTTTGTCCTTTAGCTCCTCTTTAATCTTTACAAATTAAATGATTAGTAATTGCAGGATGAGTACTGGAAACAATAACTCTCATTAAAGTATTGTATGGAATCAGTAAATACAAAATACTGCAATGTTCCATATCTTGAGATAAAAAGGCAAAATCTTTGTGATAAAAATGACATTTTCAAAGAATAACTAATAAAAAAGAAAATCACACTCTGTATAACATTATAAATCTTGATAAGCAAGTCTTTTATATGATTTCTTAATTCGTGTGATATATTCTAACACGATCAATATATGAGGAAAGAGAGAGTAATAGAATAGATTAATAAGATGACTTCGAACATAATACGATAGTACTAAAATTTGTTTTTATTGAGTTTGAGTGTATTTTTTTTTTTACTTCATTCTAATTTGTTTCCCTATTTTCTTTTCCAGGGTTTTCCAGGTTCCAAGCTGACGCTAAAAGCATTGAGCCTCCACAAAGGATGCTGCATGGATTCGGGTCCAATTTGTTTGCAGTTGATGTTGGTTTGGACCGGATCGTGTGTGCGGGTGAAGAAGGTGCAGTTCGGATATGGAACTTCTCTCATGCATTGGAAATAGAGGAGAGAGTGCGTGCTTTGAGAGGGTTAAGGTTAGAGAATAGAATGAGGAGGCGTAAGTTGAATGGAAAAGGTGGGGATCAGTGTTGTGTCGCAGCAAAGAAGAATCAAATCAATGGGGATAGGAATGGATGGCAGAACAAGCGTAGGGTGAGTGGGAAGCTGAAGGCATAGTTAGTAGGACTGGATGACTCAACTCCTAACGAGTGATTAGTAGCAGTAAATCGCTAAATCAATAATCATGCAGCTACACTCATATATATATATATATATATATATATATATATATATATAGAGGAAACTTCATGTCAGGCCGGCCTGACGGGCTGCCCCGTCTGGCCGAGCCCGTTTGGGCACCTTCCCGGTGGAATTTTTTGATGAAATTTTTTGAGCATGTTCCTCGTCAAGTCTAGTTTGTTCATACCAAATTTCAGCTCAAAATTCGATCGGGAAGGTCGTCAAATGATTTTTGCAAGTTAACTGGTCCGGAATATGTATTTTCCGGACCAGTTAACTTGCAAAAATCATTTGACGACCTTCCCGATTGAATTTTGAGCTGAAATTTGGTATGGACAAACTAGACTTGACGAGGAACATGCTCAAAAAATTTCATCAAAAAATTCCACCGGGAAGGTGCCCAAACGGGCTCGGCCGGACGGGGCAGCCCGTCAGGCCGGCCTGACATGAAGAGGACTCTATATATATATATATATATATATATATATATATATATATATATACACACCTACTGTTCACCCATTGTTTGCTGCTTTCTGATTCTAGTTTGTGAATGCATTCCATTTTCGTTCAATTGTTTGTTCTCCAAAGATGGGTGCGCACCTTTCTGGCCTGCAATCAGAACTGGTCAACGGGGACTGGAACCCGAACTACTGGTCCAATGAGTTGGGACCAGGACCTCTCGACTCGCAATTCTGATTTAGCCAAGAGATTTAATCGGATTTTCATTCTGAATTAGAATTCTTCATTTGTTTATTTCTTTACTTTTAATAAAAATTTGAAATAGCTTTACAAAACCGGAAGATTGCATTTTTTCTGTTTCTAAATAAATAGGCGAAATAATTGGAATAAAAACCAATTTTTCCAGATAAATAGGCAAAAAATCGTTAATTTTTTATTGATTGACACTTGTATGTTGCGGCCTAAGGAGTAACATCTCCATTTGTAACAACGACAACCAAGTGAACCAACTAATCAAGAAGGCTATGAATGTTGCTCATATGAACAGTATAACAATTGTGCTTATCTATTCATTTACATTGGTCACGAACAAAGTGTTTGAAATTAAATCTTAATAATATATTTTGTTATGATTTGCAAAAAAACATCAACATATGAAATTCAAACCGCTCAAAGCGCACGGGTGAGAATTGTAGTAGATAGAAATATAGAATAGCAATATTTTAAATACAATTGCGAAAATTTCTAGGTAAAGTAAAGCTATGGTAGTAGTTATTTGTCATGTGTATAATTGTTTCTGTTTGAGCATCATTCATATAGTTTGATGAACTGCACAGTTATGTGCATAACGGATCCCTCCTGATTAGGATTGGCTGTTGTAAATGACTAATAAATGTAGAAGAAAGTCGAGCAGATAATAACAAGTCTGAATGTCTGATTGGTGTTTATAAAGTGTGGTAAATGACGGAGATTGCATAACATTTTCAATTGAACCTGAAAGTGACTAAACGAATACATGAAATATTCATATAACTCAAGGGCAATGTTTGTTTATTGCTTAGAAAGTTGATCCTTCCCAAAGATTTGATCCAGGCTTTCATTTATTTTAACTAGTGGATATTTGATCATTCTTACAGAATCAGATAGAGCTGGTCATAAAAAACAAGAAACGGTTCTTCTTAAATTGGCCTATGCTTGAATAAAAAATACGGCGCTGGAGAGTGGAGTAGAAAGCATATTAAAATTCAGCCATTTCAGTTTGGTCAAAGTAGCATCCAGTGAGTCCCCCTCGAGGAAGGAGAGCCAGCATTGCGGGACCTCGAGCTCCCACCTCTGCAGTCAGTGTGCCAATTGAGGTCTGTGTTGACATAGCCGGGATGGACGCAGTTGATGCACATGTCAGGGTGCTTCTTTGCCACAAGTCTGGTGTAGGCGTGTAGCGTTGCCTTTGATATGCTATATGCAGGTAGCATCATTTGCCACCCGTTAGCTTCCAGTTTTCCATCTTTCAGATCACACAAAAAGTTGTGCAGAATCTCGTCCACTGTCTCTTCTGTCAGATTATCAATGTCCCCGAGCAACTTCCTTCTCTGCTCGTTGGGAATGCGCTGCATAAACCCGGCCAGCCCCTTGACCACTTATTAGCTAGATTTGCCATAACTAAATATATAGCCCTTCTAATCTATTGAAAGAGTATGTTTTGATGTTCATACTGCACTTGTCTGGCGTTTTCTAAAAGCATTTTGTGGGAAATATTTAATACTTGTTTTAGAAAAAATCTTCCAGGCACAGTATGAGGGCATTTTAATTTGTGTAAACACTCAACTCCCACAATTATTACTACTGGGATATCTTTTAGTTTCTTGTTTAAAAATTTTAGAAACTTCGAGGACCATTTGGTGATTTGTCTAAGCCTAGAGGGAGGTAGATGCAATTAACCCAAAATATATGTGTTGAATGAGAAGCCAGTTCTCATGAAGGTGTTAGTTTGATCTATAGCAATGGGCTAGGGTGATATGTTTACAGTAATGATGTAAAATATTACGAAAAGCCTATTAATTCTACTTAATTACCCTTAATTCACTCCTGAGAGAAGAGATATTTACTATCCTTGCCCCTTGGCTGGAACGTTGTAGCAAAGGAAGAAGTGCTTCTGTCACCATCTTCACTCCATAGTAATTAGTATCAAGGCATTCTTTTGCCTTCTCATATGTTGTCTTGATTGAACCTTGAATCAAATCAACAGCCTTCCCAGCAAGCTTTGTCGTGAAAAATGCAGAATAAGATTAGTCCATTAACAATAGGTGTGGGAGCTTTCTAAAGAGCTTAAAACTTATTTAAAGCTTCAAGTAAACAATTAATTCTGTTGGGTAAATACTAAACAGAATGATAATTTTTACGATGAGCCCTTATCGTTAAAATTATCGATCTCTCGTAGCATTTCAGAAATAATCCACTAGCTGGCCTTTTATATGTTTCCACTAATAAATTTATTCCTTATAAACAATGAACATTGTTTATCCATTTTCAGGCAATACAAATAAATAAGTAATGCAATTTTATGTCTTTTAGATAAACCAACTACTTGAGAGCTAATATTACCGCACTTGTATACCAATTAGTAGAACTTTCAGCTTGTGGCAATATATTTTTCAGCTTTCAGCGGGCTTTTCAGCTACTCATGCAAAAAAAAGACATTTGCTTGAACTCGAATAATCACTGATTGTTACCCTGGCCTTTAAGTAATGAGCACGTGCATATAGGACACGAACTATGGTGCTGTGAACGTTATGTTTTAAGTACATTTTCTCAAACACCACAACAAATTAAAACACAACCAAGGGCTTTTTAGATCATCGTATACTTGAGCTAGCTAGGTTAATCCCCGACAAGTCAAGCAGTAGACCTCAACATTTTTTATTATCTGTTGTGGCGCGGAGAATCAAAAGTATGACTCTTGCTTTCCAATTGGCTGGCTGTTTTTGCATTAATTGCTGCTTCTCCTCGGGACTGATTGAGTAACAAAAATGTTATCTTTTACGGATTGGATTAGTCTTTCTGGTGGGTGGGTGGGTGGGTATACTCACATCGCTAGCTTATCTATTGATGATCCTACTAGCTTTTCGTCCCAAACTAAAAACAAATCTTACAGCATTACTACATGTAGTTAGTTGTTAATCCGCGACCTTGTCTTACCCAGTCTAAAGGGGCTATATTTAACTCCCTTAAGGCTTCTTCATCAACAACAACTCCACTAGCTCCTGCATTGTTTACCTACAGTGGCAAGACAATAAAGGGGAAAATATGAAAGAAAAGTAAAAAGCCAATCAACCAGAATATCAAGCCTTCCATATTGTGCTTTTAGGTAATTTTCCAAGCGTGGTACGCCGTGCTTATCCAGAACATCAAGCTGGTGGAAAACAACATTTGAAAGGCCTTGTTTGTGCAGCAATGACACAGCTTCCTCCCCCCTATTCTCATCTCTAGCCGTTAGGAGGCCAGCTTCCGCACTATCTCCACCCCGATTCCCTTGTTTGCACCTGTCACTACTGCATACCTGTAAATTCATTTAATATAAGTGACCCACCCTTTCATTATTTGATTCTTCTGCTGCTTAGTAACTCAGTATATATGCTGGTTGCATTGGCTGTTAAAAATGCCTAGTAAAAGTATTGCCATTTTTTCCTTTCTGGCCAAAACATTTTCTTCACGTTAACATCTTTTTTTAATTATTTTTTTTTTGAACATCGTGAATATCGCGTCGAAAATTGAACATAGGTGAACCACATCCTATATATACGTGAAAATTTTGGAATTCCGTAAACACATATGAATAGAAAAGGAAAAGGCAGGAGTAGAGGAGGATAAAATCCGATATGAATAGAAAAGTTAAAAAGTTAAAGTGTTGACCTAACCCCAAATTTCAACACCGAATCAGATACGGATATGGATACCAAATAACCTAAAAACACGTAAAAGCACCCATAGTGCTACCAGTTGGTATACCGAGGGAGTAGTCCACGGTAGTCCTGGACTCGGGCCGGGTGACCCGACCCGGGACCGGCCCGGGACCGGTACTGTGCTGAACCAGCCCGGCCCGGTGGCCCGGCCAGTGACCGGTCCGGGTAGGCCCGGCCCGGGGGTTTCCCGGTGCGGGCTCGGGTCACCCAAAAGCCGAACCGGCCGGGCCGGTTCGGGCCAGGTTCCGGGCTTTTTAATTTTTTTTTAATTTTTTTTTTAAACTTTTCGGGTTGGGCTGGGTATTTTGGGTCATTTGGGGTGGTTTGGGGGTTGGGGGTGGGGGAGGGGGGTTAATTCGGAAAAGGAAAAAAAATGACCCGAGGCCCGGCCCGGCCCGGACCCGGTGGCTACCCGGGCCCACCTATTCAGAATCAGCGGCCCGTCCGGGCCTAGGCCCGGCCCGGACCCGGCCCGACCCGAATCCAGCCCTAGTCCACGGTGAGCATGCTGCTCTGATAGGCAAAAAATGAATGTTATTGTTCACACGCGTAAAGCAATGTAACTCAGGCTCATAAAAAATATAATTGCAAGCAAGTCAAAATGTAACTTGTCTAATACAGATTATAAGAAAGAACACATTGATTTTAATGAAAACAAGGAGTCTAATTGCTCAATTACTTTAAATGCCAAAAAATACAGACAAAAAAATTGGTTGTAGTTTAAGATGAAGAAAAAAGTAAAGAAGTAGTGTATGATTATGAAATACAATATACTTATTTTGTGTGGGTTAATAAATTTTTTTAATGAATTGGTAAAGAAAGAAGTAAATTCAGTTGTAATTTAATTAGTTAAAGATAAGGATAAGTAAAAATAACAAATAATTAGATGTAAATCATGCATAATTAGATATAACTCACGCATAAAAAGGTGTAACTTGCGTATAAGTAGTTATAACTCACGCATAATAAGATGTAACTCACACAAAATATGATCAAATGTAACTCCAAGAATCAAAATAAATTAATCCTCATGTTTTCTTTTTGATAAATATTTGAATTTGTATTTTTGTAATAGTTGAAGAACAAAAGTGCTGCATAATCAACTTTGTGAGATTGTAATATGCATCTATGAATAGTTGATTCAATATATATATATACATACAATATGAATATTCAAATATTTTACAATGTATATCAATTGATTCAATATATATATAATACATTTCAAAAATACAATTATGAAAAATTTTGCCATGTGTCATCTTCTAAGCAAGCATCATTATAATATTTTATATTCTCTTTTCAATTTAAGTATACCTCCGTTACATAGTATTTTACTTTGATTAGAACTAATGTTACGTAGTCTATATAAAAAACTAAGCTATGTGTTGGAAATTAGAATCTACTTAATTCAAAAATTCAATTCCCATGTTTATTTTAAAGTGATATGCTTTTTTATTTGTACTCTGATTGTTACAAAAAATATATCAAAATTTATAATTTTTTATTATCTTTCATATGACAGCAATATTGAATATATAAAAATTAAAAAATAATTTAACAATTTTAAAAAAAATACTCCCTCCGTCCCAATTTGTAAGATACATTTCGGTTTACGATGTTTGACTGACGAAAAAGCAAATTGATCCCTGTCAACACCCAAATTAGTTCTAGAAAATAAAATTTACATATTCAAAAACTACATTAAATCCGCTACAAAACCTGCAAAAAATAATTCAAACTTCATAAACTTTTGATATATAAAATAAAAGTTTAGAAGTGATTTATGTTGACCAAGTGAATAGTAAATGTATCTTACAATTTGGGACTGAGGGAGTACCTATTTTTTAAGTCTTATATCTTTTGTAGTTGTACTCTGATTGTTACAAAAAATATATAAAAAATAAAAACTTTTTATTATCTTTCATATGACACCAATGTTGCATATATAAAAATAGTAAAGATTAATTCTATTAATTTTTGCAATTTATGATCGTTTTTACAGTGCACATAATTAATCAGGAGTGATAAACTTGGAATAAAAATGCACCAACTCCATCACTTTTATTTATTGTTTTATTCTTTTCACTAGAATTTGTGCAGTTTTATTTTAAGCTACCACTGCAATTAATAGTGTGCATGGTACAAAACGGTCACAAACTGCATAAGTTAATAGATTGTTTATATATGCAACATTGATGCCATATGAAAACTAAAATAATAAAAATTTTGATATAATTTTTGTAACAATCGGAGATGAATAAAAATTATAAGAATTTTAAGAGATTGATGCTATTTCAATATTGGTGTCATTAAAAAAAGTTATGAATTTGATATTTTTTTGGGTGACTTATTCGACCCTTTTCATGCAACTTCGAGTACCAATCTGATCCTTACCTCGAAATTCAGAGTACAAATAGTGTCATTAAAAATATTTTCTTTCATATGGCACAAATGTTTTATTTATATATTGTAGCAAAATATATAGCACACTTTCCATATATTTTAGATAAAAAAAGTTATAGTGCACGACAAAATTTCCATAATTTAAAAATTATGGAGTCCTTCCTATAATTTAGAATTCCATATATTTTAGATTAGAATTTAATAAATCTCTTGAAAGTATTTATGAGTAAAATTTGGATTTAATTAGCTTACTATGGAGTTATATATAATCACTATACAACTATACAAGCAGAAGTGAGATGTACATATAAATTTAAGAGCTTTTTTGGTAACACCCAAATTAGCTGTAGTGGCTTATTCTGTTGAAATTTATGAAGTTCTATCTGGAGTGACTAGATTGACTCATTTTGTTGATTTATGATTTTTTTAATAAAATAAAGAAACAGTTATATCAAAAAACTAAAATTATCCTACAGAGTAACATAAACCAATACCGCCAGAAAAGTAACTTCAACTTTACTTTGTCTTATTATTACACAATTCAGCGCGCGAAATCAAAAGTTACGTGTTTCGTGAAGAAGTTGAGTTGTAAGCCCGATAAGCCGCAAAACAGTGTCACCAAACGGACTCTAAATTAGCTTGTTATGGAGTTAATCATTCGTATTTTAAAAGTATTCATGAGTAATTTTTTTTGTCACAAAAAATTGAGATGATAACACATGATTAGTTTATTACTAAAATGCAAAAAGCAACTTTAAAATGATTATTCTTGTTATCTAAACAAAAAGAAAATGCTTCCCTTCATAATGTTCACACTTGTTCGCTCTCAATAAAAAAAAAATTCTTGAATAAGTGCACTGGGAGCTTTGATGAAATTGATTGAAAGTTTAGAAAAAGATTCTTCATCACTCCCTTTTGATGTATGATATGTCATGGGGTTTTGAATTGAGGTGTTTAGAAGCCTTTCTGGGATATTAGGTTCTGGACTGATGTATCCGGAAACCATGTTGTACGGCAGGTTATGGGCCGCTTTACTCAGAAGCCAAGGGTGGTTGCTTAGCAGCTCGATTTCCCATCATGTGTGTGGAGCAGAAATTTTAGGTGCCACACATTTCACTGAACCGAATGACGAATGGTGCTCAGTGAGGATGTAATTACACTTGGATTGTTAATGTATTAGGAGTAAAAGTAAGTGTTGGAAACGAACTTACCCGTTTTCACAGATCTGAAACTCAACTGGACTACACTTTTCAGATTTGATATACGTGGTTCAGATGGGGGAGAAGGTCAGAGTGCTCAATCAGTGGTTTCACATTGCCTTCATCTTCGAGGTGAATATTGTCGGTCTGCTTGCAGGTGTATTTTTCATGAGAGAATTCCCCAAATAGGAGTAAAAACGTTTTGAAATTCCAAAATAGGATTATCATGTTTTTTATTCCTTGAATAGGAGTAATCTGCCAAGTTTGGAAGAAAATGCCATGTTTAAAAGCATTGTAATGTCAAACTTGGCAGAAATTTACTCCTATTCAGGGAATAAAAAACATGATACTCATATTTTGGAATTTCAAAACGTTTTTACTCCTATTTAGGTCAATTTCTGATTTTTCATCCATTCCACCGGAGATGAGGACAAATGTGAAGGGGCAACTAAGGAGGAAGAGGAGGAGGGTGAGATGAGGCAGCGAGAGGTGAAGATAAGGAGTATGCTGGAGACGAGGAATATAAGAAAGGGATATGGGGTAAAATGGGCGCAGAGGATGAGAGAAGATATAAGGTCATAAGAAGGAGAGATGAGAAAAGATATAAGGTAAAGTGGGGCGGTAGATATTAAGATGGGAGGGGGTGAGTTTGATGGGAGATGCAGTTTAGGGATATTTAAGTCATTTAACCCCCAATGGCATATAAAAAAAGATGTGTAAAATTTAATACGAGTCATATAAAAAAGGAAAGTGAAAATTTAAATACAAGACAAAAGGAGTATTTTTTCCCCTTGAGTGGCTCATATGAAACTTCTCTACCCGTGCATCCCAGAGAAAAGTAGTTGATAGAGTTGTATTTTTATCATGTATTATTTCTATTTTAACTAGTTTTATTTGTTGTTGTTTGGAAAATTACACACTTTTGGTGTAATTAGTTAATTTTCTTAGATAGATGTAATTTGTTTAGATTAGGATTATTCTGAGCTTAAAACAGGTCAAGATCATCCAAAGGATCA